TTGTTAGCATCTGGTGCTAGCTAGCTGTGCTAACGGATATAAGGAGCTGTTTCAATGAAAACAGAGGAGCGACATTTCGCCGAGCACTTGACTTTATGCAGGAAGCCAGACAGTGGGACATTGTACGAGAAGTCAGCACACTCAGCACGGATAGCGCAACATGATCGCGGCGTCCAGGCAGCTCCCGTTCGAGCATATGCCTTGAGTTGCACATAGCTCCAACGATCACATAGCTCCAACGATCACACACACACACACACACACACACACACACACACACACACACACACACACACACACACACACACACACACACACACACACACACACACACACACACCACACACACACACACACACACACACACCACACACACACACACACACACACACACACACACACACACACACACACACACACACACACACACACACACACACACACACACCACACACACACACACACACACACACACACACACACACACACACACACACACACACACACACACACACACACACACACACACACACACACACACACGTTTAATGTGCAGCCACTGAAACCTGTGCAGCAGCATGCTCATTTATACATGTTATTATCTCCAGTGTGATTGATGCTGAAGTATCTGTGTATTTATACATGTTATTATCTCCAGTGTGATTGATGCTGAAGTATCTGTGTATTTATACATGTTATTATCTCCAGTGTGATTGATGCTGAAGTATCTGTGTATTTATACATGTTATTATCTCCAGGGTGATTGATACTGATGTATCTGTGTATTTATACATGTTATTATCTCCAGGGTGATTGATGCTGAAGTATCTGTGTATTTATACATGTTATTATCTCCAGTGTGATTGATGCTGAAGTATCTGTGTATTTATACATGTTATCATCTCCAGTGTGATTGATGCTGAAGTATCTGTGTATTTATACATGTTATTATCTCCAGGGTGATTGATACTGATGTATCTGTGTATTTATACATGTTATTATCTCCAGTGTGATTGATACTGATGTATCTGTGTATTTATACATGTTATTATCTCCAGTGTGATTGATGCTGAAGTATCTGTGTATTTATACATGTTATTATCTCCAGTGTGATTGATGCTGAAGTATCTGTGTATTTATACATGTTATTATCTCCAGTGTGATTGATGCTGAAGTATCTGTGTATTTATACATGTTATTATCTCCAGTGTGATTGATACTGAAGTATCTGTGTATTTATACATGTTATCATCTCCAGTGTGATTGATACTGATGTATCTGTGTATTTATACATGTTATCATCTCCACAGTATTACAAACAGGGCTGTAGAAGTAGAGCTAATGTAATATAGCAGTGGTACCGTAGCGCGCCCAGAGCCGGGCCTGGACTCCAGAACACTCTCTGATCCGGATCGGGAAGTCTGGGTTGGACGTCTTCAGAGAAACATAATGCTGCTCCACAAAGTCCCTGTGAATACACATTAATACACATTAAATACACATTAATACACATTAATACACATTAAATACACATTAATACACATTACTACATTGATGTTAACTGTTACCTCTGCAACCTGTGTTACCTCTGTTAGCTGTTTACAGTTAGCTGTTAGCTCTGTTAGCTGTTAGCTCTGTTAGCTCTGTTAGCTGTTTACTGTTAGCTGTTAGCTCTGTTAGCTGTTAGCTCTGTTTACTGTTAGCTCTGTTAGCTGTTAGCTCTGTTAGCTGTTAGCTCTGTTAGCTGTTAGCTCTGTTAGCTGTTTACTGTTAGCTGTGTTAGCTGTTAGCTCTGTTTACTGTTAGCTCTGTTAGCTGTTTACTGTTAGCTGTTAGCTCTGTTAGCTGTTAGCTCTGTTAGCTGTTAGCTCTGTTAGCTGTTAGCTCTGTTAGCTGTTAGCTCTGTTTACTGTTAGCTGTTAGCTCTGTTAGCTGTTAGCTCTGTTAGCTGTCACCTCTGTTAGCTGTTAGCTCTGTTTACTGTCAGCTCTGTTAGCTGTCAGCTCTGTTAGCTGTTAGCTCTGTTTACTGTCAGCTCTGTTAGCTGTTAGCTCTGTTAGCTGTCAGCTCTGTTAGCTGTCAGCTCTGTTAGCTGTTACCTCTGTTAGCTGTTACCTCTGTTAGCTGTTACATCTGTTTACTGTTAGCTGTTAGCTCTGTTAGCTGTTAGCTCTGTTTACTGTCACCTCTGTTAGCTGTTAGCTCTGTTTACTGTTAGCTCTGTTAGCTCTGTTAGCTGTCAGCTCTGTTAGCTGTTACCTCTGTTAGCTGTTAGCTCTGTTTACTGTCAGCTCTGTTAGCTGTCACCTCTGTTAGCTGTTAGCTCTGTTTACTGTCAGCTCTGTTAGCTGTTAGCTCTGTTAGCTGTCAGCTCTGTTAGCTGTCACCTCTGTTAGCTGTCACCTCTGTTAGCTGTCACCTCTGTTAGCTGTTAGCTCTGTTTACTGTCAGCTCTGTTAGCTGTTAGCTCTGTTTACTGTCAGCTCTGTTAGCTGTTAGCTCTGTTAGCTGTCACCTCTGTTAGCTGTTAGCTCTGTTAGCTGTCAGCTCTGTTAGCTGTCACCTCTGTTTACTGTCACCTCTGTTAGCTGTTACCTCTGTTAGCTGTCAGCTCTGTTAGCTGTCAGCTCTGTTAGCTGTTACCTCTGTTAGCTGTTAGCTCTGTTTACTGTCAGCTCTGTTAGCTGTCACCTCTGTTAACTGTTAGCTCTGTTAGCTGTCAGCTCTGTTAGCTGTCACCTCTGTTAGCTGTCACCTCTGTTAGCTGTCACCTCTGTTAGCTGTCACCTCTGTTAGCTGTTAGCTCTGTTTACTGTCACCTCTGTTTACTGTCAGCTCTGTTAGCTGTTACCTCTGTTAGCTGTTACCTCTGTTAGCTGTTACCTCTGTTTACTGTTAGCTGTTAGCTCTGTTTACTGTCAGCTCTGTTAGCTGTCACCTCTGTTAGCTGTTAGCTCTGTTTACTGTCAGCTCTGTTAGCTGTTAGCTCTGTTTACTGTCAGCTCTGTTAGCTGTCACCTCTGTTAGCTGTTAGCTCTGTTTACTGTCAGCTCTGTTAGCTGTCACCTCTGTTAGCTGTTAGCTCTGTTTACTGTCACCTCTGTTAGCTGTTAGCTCTGTTTACTGTCAGCTCTGTTAGCTGTCACCTCTGTTAGCTGTTAGCTCTGTTTACTGTCAGCTCTGTTAGCTGTCAGCTCTGTTAGCTGTCACCTCTGTTAGCTGTTAGCTCTGTTAGCTGTCAGCTCTGTTAGCTGTCACCTCTGTTAGCTGTTAGCTCTGTTTACTGTCACCTCTGTTTACTGTCAGCTCTGTTAGCTGTTACCTCTGTTAGCTGTTACCTCTGTTAGCTGTTACCTCTGTTTACTGTTAGCTGTTAGCTCTGTTTACTGTCACCTCTGTTAGCTGTTAGCTCTGTTTACTGTCAGCTTTGTTAGTTGTCACCTGTTAGCTGTTAGCTCTGTTTACTGTTAGCTCTGTTAGCTGTCAGCTCTGTTAGCTGTCCGCTCTGTTATTGGGTCATTCTCTAGGGGAATGCTAATGCTAAGCTAACAGGCAGAGGGTGTATCCCTGGTTCTATGTTAGCGGCAGATCACGGCTCTGAGGCCCGGCTCGCAGCTCACCTCGCCCCCTGACTGGCTCCAGAGGTCTGGCAGAGATGGAGGCGGATCTCCCGCAGATTCCTGCCCAAAGAGGAGCCGATACTTCTGACCGCTGCAGCCGCCATGTTAGCTTCTGGTGTCAAGGACGGGAGGAGGGTTTATTAGGCCTGAGTTCAGACTGACAGGCAACCATTCAGAGGGTTTGAAGCCCGGAGTTCAGCCTTACAGGCATCTACCCTGTCTACCTGCAAAGATCGAAAGGCTTAATCATCAGATGAACAGCAGCAATAGTGTAGATAATATATACAATACAAATCTGCAACATCAATATATATATAAGACACAAAATAATAAAGCATATACAAATACTATAAAAAATAGTGCAAGAACATTTTAGAGCAGGGAACAGATTAGAAATGAAACAGAACAGATTAAGTTGCAGACCAATGTGAAAGTAATGCAGGAGAAGTGAGATATAAACATGTCAGATAAATACAATAAGCTAATGAAATGAATGTTGTCAGAGAGGTCGTGCAGCAGGAGTCTGTGTACATGTAAACAGACAAAGATAAACAAGATCAGAATGTAAAGTTAAATACTGCTTGTAGTAATACATTAATAACCTTTCAAGGTGAAGGTAAGCAGCATCAAAATATACTTTGAGCAGTCATTGAGCAGAATGATATACAGTATTTACATTATTGGATGTATTACATTCAAATGGGGGAATCATTTATTTGTTTAATTCTTGAAAATATTTCTAAACGTCTCTTCATTACTGCTTGGTTTTAAAACATGATGAAATATGCAACCTGTGTTTTTACACACACACTATCTATAAATCAATAAAATATATCATATCAAATGATATCAGTTCTGCGTGTTTTAACCTTTAGTATAGTTTAATGTTTAATATGGACCAGTGTCATTCTTACCTTCATGAAGTGATGTATTTATAAGACTGCTTCAAATATCAACCAACCATCGGCCAGCTGTTAAACTCTGTTTCCAACATTAACATCAAACCTAATGTATGTCTTTAGTATGAATATTATTCATACATCATGTTGAATAATCTCTGATGGCCAGAGGATATTCAAAATACAACTGAGAATTTATTCCATGGATACTTTTACTGAAAACCTGACTTTGCTTTCCTGACTGCTTTTCAAAGTAAACGTACCGTACCTCTCACGGCCCGTGTCAGGTCTCTGCCGGCTGTCAATGATTGACGTGAACACAGCAGGACGGAGGCGTTTGTTGGCGTTAGCGGACGTGATAGCTTAGCTTGAGCTCAGCTAGCCTTAGCTTTATATTAAATACACAGAAACGACAGTTGTCTGAACATCTTTCTGAGAACGAGAAGGAGATGTGAATTTCTAACTGTTCCTTTAACACAAGTTGCTGGAAGAGGCTTTGCTTTATTTAGTGACAGGATGATTTGGTACAAACATCTGGACACCAGAAGCAGAATAAAGGGTTTATACAGGTAAGACTTTCAAGATATTTGATTCTATATTCAAAGGCAGCTGAGTTATAAACATGACTGTGAACTAATGAAGGATGAAGGTGATCCTCCAGAGATCAACAGCCGGTAGCTTCGCGGGTTCTGCAGTCTGTTTCTCGTTGAGAGTTCGTTAGCGTTAGCAGAAAGTGAGCAAGCTGCACATGCGTCATCACAAGTGAAGATTAAAACATATTTAGTGTTTTTTACAATCCGGCAGGTTTCCTGTCAGTCCGGCCCTCCCTGTTCCGCCGCAGGACTTCTTTCCGTCGTTTCTCGTTCAGAAGCTGCTGGATTCGTTTGTTTTGTGTTCGCTCGCGGACCGGCGGCATCCGCGGCACAAAGTAATTCTGCTGCGCCCGGTCTCCGTCCAATCCCACGATCCGATACGGGACCTCGTCCACCGAGTTGTTCTCCTTCTTAGAAGACAGCTGGAAGAAGGAAGACGCCGATGACGTTGGTTCGGTTTTAGTTTGACGGATCCTGCCTCCAGTTGTCCTGTTCGGAGACGATGTGGCAACAACGATGACAGATGGTCTTATTATTGTGGCGGACGTCCTGAACAAAGCCGGGGCCAGACTTTGACCTCTAGCTGTCTCTGTTGTAGCAGGACGCCTTGTAGTGGTAGTTTTCCTCCTGAATACATGTGGTGGAGCAGTTCTTCTTGGACGCCTTGTAGTGGTTCTAGTAGTGGTTGTAGCAGTAGTAGTAGTAATAGTAGTAGTAGGAATAGTAGTAGTAGGAATAGTAGTAGTAGGAATAGTAGTAGTAGGAATAGTAGTAGTAGGAATGGTAGTAGGAATAGTAGTAGTAGGAATAACATCAGGAGCTTCAGAGGAAATCGAAGGTTCCTCGTAGGATGAATATTCGCCGTAATCGCTGTAGTCAACGTACACAAAGTCGGTGCTGCTTCCACTGGTCGGGGGTGGAGTTTCAGTAGAGTGGGGGGGTGGCATACTGTTGAAGAAGCTGCTGTCCGTCCAGGAAGAGGTGGGCGCTGAAGTTATGGTCTCTGTGGTTAAACCAAACAAACTAAGAAGACAAAAAGAAGAGCATCAGTGAGATCAGGACGGCTTAAAAGCTTAAAAGCAGTTATTGATCTATAGCTGTGTTTCCACCTAGAGTTCCCTTACTTTTAAGAGCCAGGAAATACTTTTGAGGATATGAAAGGTTTCTTGAAAAATAAATCCTTGGAAAGAAAATGACCAGGAACTTCTGGGTGGAAACATAGCTTAGTGCACTGAATTTCAAAGTATCACCTCCTACCAACATATTCAACTACGTCATCATAATCAAACAAAAAGCAAAGGTCATCAAATCAACAACATAAAGTATTCCTGGTTACCCTGACCTGCTGTCGGTGGTCGACGGGAACGTGATGCTGAAGTGGCTTGAGTCTTTAAAGTTGATGTTGGTAAAGATGTCAGAGTTGGTGGAGTTTTCAGAATAGGTGGAGTTGTCAGAGTTGGTGGAGTTGTCGGAGTTGGTGGAGTTTTCAGAATAGGTGGAGTTGTCAGAGTTGGTGGAGTTGTCAGAGTTGGTGGAGTTGTCAGAGTTGTCAGAGTTGGTGGAGTTGCTGAGGTTCCCCTCGCTGCAGGACTTGCAGCACATCTGACGGTATCCGGCGATGGAGCAGTACCGGCTCAACGTCTCCATCCGACAAAACACTGAGCGGTCACCACGGCATCGCTGCCCTGAAGACAGAGAAGATCAACATGGACAATCGGCCCCAAAGAATTGGAGAAAGTATAAATGCAGAGAGGAAGATGAGTGTATTTACTTGAGGAGATCTTTGGAGCCGGGAAGGCTGGGTTGGACCTGGACAGCCACTGAATGATGGCGTTCTTCTGGTCTCCTGCAGGGCAAACAAGCTGTGAGCAACAACAACACACAGACTGCAACTCTTTGTCAGTGCACTTATATTTGCTTCTGATTGGTCAAGGCCTACCGCTACAAGGAGGGGGCTGGCAGGTGCGGGTTGTGATTGGTCGAGGGTCGCTGCAGTTTTGGGCTGAACCTCCAGGACTGGAACACACAACCTGACGCTCTTGAGTCCCGTTTCCACAGGATACTGAACACTGCAAACACAAACATGCTGATCAGATTCAGATGTTCAGAATCTAGAATTATCAGGATTTGGGGTCAACAAACCTCCAAAGGGTAACTGTCACTCATAGTAACTGTACGAGTAAGAAGGTAGTCACAAAATGAGAAAGTGAGATTCACCAGAAAGAAGGTAAAGTTAGTCCAGAAAGGTGGAGGTAGTCTAGAGTCTAGACAGACGAAAGGAATTTAGACAGGTCAGAGAAGGGATCAAGAGGAACTGAGAGGTAATACAGAAATAACTGAGAGGTAATACAGAAAGAAGTGAGAGGTAGTCCAGAAAGAAGTGACAGGTAGTCCAGAAAGAAGTGACAGGTAGTCCAGAAAGAAGTGACAGGTAGTCCAGAAAGAAGTGAGAGGTAGTCCAGAAAGAAGTGAGAGGTAGTCCAGAAAGAAGTGAGAGGTAGTCCAGAAAGAAGTGACAGGTAGTCCGTGACAGGTAGTCCAGGAATAAGTGACAGGTAGTCCAGAAAGAAGTGACAGGTAGTCCAGAAAGAAGTGAGAGGTAGTCCAGAAAGAAGTGACAGGTAGTCTAGAGTCTAGACAGACGAAAGGAATTTAGACAGGTCAGAGAAGGGATCAAGAGGAACTGAGAGGTAATACAGAAATAAGTGAGAGGTAGTCCAGAAAGAAGTGACAGGTAGTCCAGAAAGAAGTGAGAGGTAGTCCAGAAAGAAGTGAGAGGTAGTCCAGAAAGAAGTGAGAGGTAGTCCAGAAAGAAGTGAGAGGTAGTCCAGAAAGAAGTGACAGGTAGTCCAGAAAGAAGTGAGAGGTAGTCCAGAAAGAAGTGAGAGGTAGTCCAGAAAGAAGTGACAGGTAGTCCAGAAAGAAGTGAGAGGTAGTCCAGAAAGAAGTGAGAGGTAGTCCAGAAATAAGTGACAGGTAGTCCAGAAAGAAGTGAGAGGTAGTCCAGAAAGAAGTGAGAGGTAGTCCAGAAAGAAGTGAGAGGTAGTCCAGAAAGAAGTGACAGGTAGTCCAGAAAGAACTGAGAGGTAGTCCAGAAAGAACTGAGAGGTAGTCCAGAAAGAAGTGAGAGGTAGTCCAGAAAGAAGTGAGAGGTAGTCCAGAAAGAAGTGAGAGGTAGTCCAGAAAGAAGTGAGAGGCAGTCCAGAAAGAAGTGAGAGGCAGTCCAGAAAGAAGTGAGAGGCAGTCCAGAAAGAAGTGACAGGTAGTCCAGAAAGAACTGAGAGGTAGTCCAGAAAGAAGTGAGAGGTAGTCCAGAAAGAAGTGAGAGGTAGTCCAGAAATAAGTGACAGGTAGTCCAGAAAGAAGTGAGAGGTAGTCCAGAAAGAAGTGAGAGGTAGTCCAGAAAGAAGTGAGAGGTAGTCCAGAAAGAAGTGACAGGTAGTCCAGAAAGAACTGAGAGGTAGTCCAGAAAGAACTGAGAGGTAGTCCAGAAAGAAGTGAGAGGTAGTCCAGAAAGAAGTGAGAGGTAGTCCAGAAAGAAGTGAGAGGTAGTCCAGAAAGAAGTGAGAGGCAGTCCAGAAAGAAGTGAGAGGCAGTCCAGAAAGAAGTGAGAGGCAGTCCAGAAAGACGTGACAGGTAGTCCAGAAATAAGTGAGAGGGAGTCCAGAAAGAAGTGAGAGGCAGTCCAGAAAGAACTGAGAGGTAGTCCAGGAATAAGTGACAGGTAGTCCAGAAATAAGTGAGAGGGAGTCCAGAAAGACGTGACAGGTAGTCCAGAAATAAGTGAGAGGGAGTCCAGAAAGAAGTGACAGGTAGTCCAGAAAGAAGTGAGAGGTAGTCCAGGAATAAGTGACAGGTAGTCCAGAAAGAAGTGACAGGTAGTCCAGAAAGAAGTGAGAGGTAGTCCAGAAAGAAGTGAGAGGTAGTCCAGAAAGAAGTGACAGGTAGTCCAGAAAGAAGTGAGAGGTAGTCCAGAAAGAAGTGAGAGGTAGTCCAGAAAGAAGTGAGAGGTAGTCCAGAAAGAAGTGAGAGATAGTCCAGAAAGAAGTGACAGGTAGTCCAGAAAGAAGTGAGAGGTAGTCCAGAAAGAAGTAAGAGGTAGTCCAGAAAGAAGTGAGAGGTAGTCCAGAAAGAAGTGACAGGTAGTCCAGAAAGAAGTGACAGGTAGTCCAGAAAGAAGTGAGAGGTAGTCCAAAAAGAAGTGAGAGGTAGTCCAGAAAGAAGTGAGAGGTAGTCCAGAAAGAAGTGACAGGTAGTCCAGAAAGAAGTGACAGGTAGTCCAGAAAGAAGTGACAGGTAGTCCAGAAAGAAGTGACAGGTAGTCCAGAAAGAAGTGACAGGTAGTCCAGAAAGAAGTGAGAGGTAGTCCAGAAAGAAGTGACAGGTAGTCCAGAAAGAAGTGACAGGTAGTCCAGAAAGAAGTGAGAGGTAGTCCAGAAAGAAGTGAGAGGTAGTCCAGAAAGAAGTGACAGGTAGTCCAGAAGGAAGTGACAGGTAGTCCAGAAAGAAGTGACAGGTAGTCCAGAAAGAAGTGACAGGTAGTCCAGAAAGAAGTGACAGGTAGTCCAGAAAGAAGTGAGAGGTAGTCCAGAAAGAAGTGACAGGTAGTCCAGAAAGAAGTGAGAGGTAGTCCAGAAAGAAGTGACAGGTAGTCCAGAAAGAAGTGACAGGTAGTCCAGAAAGAAGTGACAGGTAGTCCAGAAAGAAGTGACAGGTAGTCCAGAAAGAAGTGAGAGGTAGTCCAGAAAGAAGTGACAGGTAGTCCAGAAAGAAGTGACAGGTAGTCCAGAAAGAAGTGACAGGTAGTCCAGAAAGAAGTGACAGGTAGTCCAGAAAGAAGTGACAGGTAGTCCAGAAAGAAGTGACAGGTAGTCCAGAAAGAAGTGAGAGGTAGTCCAGAAAGAAGTGACAGGTAGTCCAGAAAGAAGTGAGAGGGAGTCCAGAAGAAGGACAGGTAGTCCAGAAAGAAGTGACAGGTAGTCCAGAAAGAAGTGACAGGTAGTCCAGAAAGAAGTGACAGGTAGTCCAGAAAGAAGTGAGAGGTAGTCCAGAAAGAAGTGAGAGGTAGTCCAGAAAGAAGTGAGAGGGAGTCCAGAAAGAACTGAGAGGTAGTCCAGAAAGAAGTGAGAGGGAGTCCAGAAAGAAGTGAGATGGAGTCCAGAAAGAAATGAGAGGTAGTCCAGAAAGAAGTGACAGGTAGTCCAGAAAGAAGTGAGAGGTAGTCCAGAAAGAAGTGACAGGTAGTCCAGAAAGAAGTGACAGGTAGTCCAGAAAGAAGTGACAGGTAGTCCAGAAAGAAGTGACAGGTAGTCCAGAAAGAAGTGACAGGTAGTCCAGAAAGAAGTGACAGGTAGTCCAGAAAGAAGTGAAGGTAGTCCAGAAAGAAGTGAAGGTAGTCCAGAAAGAAGTGACAGGTAGTCCAGAAAGAAGTGACAGGTAGTCCAGAAAGAAGTGACAGGTAGTCCAGAAAGAAGTGACAGGTAGTCCAGAAAGAAGTGACAGGTAGTCCAGAAAGAAGTGACAGGTAGTCCAGAAAGAAGTGACAGGTAGTCCAGAAAGAAGTGAGAGGTAGTCCAGAAAGAAGTGAGAGGTAGTCCAGAAAGAAGTGAGAGGTAGTCCAGAAAGAAGTGAGAGGTAGTCCAGAAAGAAGTGAGAGGTAGTCCAGAAAGAAGTGAGAGGGAGTCCAGAAAGAAGTGAGAGGTAGTCCAGAAAGAAGTGAGAGGGAGTCCAGAAAGAACTGAGAGGTAGTCCAGAAAGAAGTGAGAGGGAGTCCAGAAAGAAGTGAGAGGGAGTCCAGAAAGAAGTGAGATGGAGTCCAGAAATAACTTAGTCGATACATTCCCTTGTGGTAAATCATCCTTGTGAATATTCCCCTAGCTTCCCTTAGCGTACCGGGGTCCAGGGTCCAGCCCTCCAGGCAGCAGGGCAGGGGGTGCGGTTGCAGGTTCTCTTCCCCTCCGGTCGGTCCTCTCCGCACAGTTTGCTGTGCACTGAGCGAGGCTGCTTCCCAGCGCTGGCCTCCTGCTGGCAGCCGACCCAGCGGCGCTGCCACCCCGTCTGACCACAGGAGGCGCTGCAGTCCTCCCACTCCCCGGTCACCCAGCTGAGGGGCAGGAACAGCACCATTTTAGAAGCCTTTTTTTTAAACTTTGTTTATTGGGTTTTTTCAACAGAACACAGTTATTCTATCAGAGCGTGTATCAAAAGTAGGTAAACACATCTTCACTTTATAGAAAAATAGGTAGAGTAACAATGTAAATACTGCTTAACACCAGGGCCAACTAAATCCACCCGTGGGGTCTCTTAAACCTTGTGTCATCATATCATTGTATTTCCACATGGATATTTTTTTACTTTTTTATGCTATTTTATTTCTATTTCAGAAATATCTTGGATTTTTAATTTCTAGTCTTTTAATTTCTCGTATTTACATTGCCTTGTGTTTTTATGCTGCTGCAACGCAAACATTTCCCAAATTGGGATCAATAAAGTACTTCTTATCTGATCTGATCCTCCAATTGATTGAATCCGCCATGTATTCAGCAACGCACCAGGAGGATCTGGCTTTTGACGGGAATTACTTTGTTTGTTTTGATTCAAGTTACGCCCAAAACGCACCTATAAATAACTCAGAAAGTGGATGGAAAAATAATGGATCTGCTTTGCAACCGCCCCTTGCATATTACTTTTACAGTGACGAGCTGCAGGTGTTACCGTGACGTTACCGTGACGTTACTGTGACGAGCTGCAGGTGTTACCGTGACGAGCTGCAGGTGTTACTGTGACGTTACCGTGACGTTACCGTGACGAGCTGCAGGTGTTACCGTGACGTTACCGTGATGTTACCGTGACGTTACCGTGACGTTACCGTGACGTTACTGTGACGAGCTGCAGGTGTTACCGTGACGAGCTGCAGGTGTTACTGTGACGTTACCGTGACGTTACCGTGACGTTACCGTGACGTTACTGTGACGAGCTGCAGGTGTTACCGTGACGAGCTGCAGGTGTTACTGTGACGTTACCGTGACGTTACCGTGACGAGCTGCAGGTGTTACCGTGACGTTACCGTGACGAGCTGCAGGTGTTACCGTGACGTTACCGTGACGAGCTGCAGGTGTTACCGTGACGAGCTGCAGGTGTTACCGTGACGTTACCGTGACGAGCTGCAGGTGTTACCGTAACGAGCTGCAGGTCTCCGTGTTGCAGGTGCGGCTGATGGCTCTCGGTTTGTTGATGTTGGAGCAGAACGTCCTTTGAACCATTTTCCCGTCAGCTTTCCTCCTGCAGCCGAACCTCGTGTACTGCTTCCCTGGCGACAAGACAACACCGTTAAACTCCGCCTACCTGCACCGCGGTCAGGTACTTGTTAACTCTTCCTGTCAGGTACATGTTAGCGCTTCCTGCACATGTTAACCGGCAGCAGCGTTGTTTACCTCCCCCACAGGGCTTCGAGCACTGAGACCACTTCGTCAGTGCCCACTCGTAGAAGATGGCGTCCTCCTGCAGCAGGTTGGACTCCAGCGAGGACTGGAGGCCGTCCGGGATGATGTATTTGTAGGAAACCGTGACCTTGGACTCACCATGGGAACGAACCTGAGGGACAGAAATACGGGAGGCGCATTTTTTATGATTAACGAACAAATACAATCAGATGTTTCTGCCATCCCATTAAGAGATCAAAGGACCTCTCTCCAGAACACATTTGAGAACAGGGTTTTAAGTGCCTGCGGCTCATGCCCCGGCCACACGAGGACGAAAACGGCCGTTTGCGTTACTGTTTAGTGTCATATAGACCATTCGGCCATACGAGGACGACCGAATACGGCACTAAACGACTGAGGAAACGATAACGGGTCCCAAGGTGGATAGAACGGCATACGCAACGCTCTGGGGGGTCAAACGGCTCCGTGTGTGCGCCCTATACGAACATTTTCTGATAGTGATTGCGCAATAGCAATAGCCCCGCCTCTCCCCACCTCTTCTGCTCACCTCCGCGTACCCCGCGCCATTGCTGATGTGTTTCGCCACCAACAACAACAACAACAATGGCGGATCGCAGAGTTGCTATCGTGCTCCGGACGCTACTGACCATGCTACAGTTCTTTGTGCAACATCTACAGCAGACTTACACATCCGGGGGGATCTTACTTGCTGCTTTTGTGGATATGTACTGCAGCTTCAGCGATCATTTTCTGATAATGATTGCGCAATAGCCCCGCCTCTCCCCACCTCTGCTGCTCACCCCAGCGTCAAAGTAAACTGCACACTGAATTCAGATTATTTATCTTTCTCTCGATATGGACATAAACGCGAGTGAGGTCTAATCTGACAGGACGGAGACACCTCTCAAACTACCTAGTTATACATATGTTTATTTTTACTGTCGGCCGGGTCACTCATTACTGGATCAGCTGCTGCATGAGACAGACACTGACGCTGTCCAAAGAGAGGGAGGAAAAAGAGAGGCTCCGTGTATTTTATTATTATAATATATAGATTCGTTATTCATTTGTTTTAAAGCTCAATAAATAACAAAGAAGACCTTTGACCGGCACTTTTATAATTTTGTCGGAAGATTTAAACTTTAATTCACGTTGACTGGCGAAAAACTCTGCCCGGTTCCCTCGGCCCCCACCGCGGAGAATAAACAGAAGGGCAACCATGACAACCATGCTTCTTCGCTGCTTTTGTGGAGGAAGTTACAGCGCCACGTACAGGCTCGGCATATGTACTGCAGCTTCTCCAGCGGTTGGAGCTAAACGGAGCGGTCTCGTGTGGACAGACACTATCCGGATGACTATTGCGTGTGGACGGAAGCTTGTTTGCGATTGGGTTTGCGTTAATCCTATGCGTTTAGCCGTTTTCGTCCTCGTGTGGCCGGGGTCTCAGTGAGGCGTTGTTGTTGGACTTGTTTTCAGGTTTTGGTGGACTGACCATGAGCAGGACTCCGTACTTCAGGGGTCCAGTGGTCTGGATGGACTCCTGCTCATCAGTGTTGCTGTACTCCCACATCGCCCCCTTCTCTATCACCACCCGGGACTCAGGGAGCTCCACCTCAGCGTTCAGGAAGAGGTGACCGGTCTCCGTGTTGGTCATCGCTTGAAACAATAAAGACACTCGGTTTAACTGGAGCAGGAAGACGAGCTACAGACTAGGGCTGCTCGATTATGGCAAAAATCATAATCTCGATTATTTGGGTCAATAATTGATATCACGATAATCAATCAATCAATCAATCAATCAATGTTTATTTATAGCCCAATATCACAAATGTTACATTTGTCTCAGTGGACTTCACAGTTTGTACAGAATATCAGTATGACAATACGACACCCTCTGTCCTTAGACCCTCTGTCTTTAGACCCTCTGTCCTTAGACCCTCTGTCCTTAGACCCTCTATCCTTAGACCCTCTATCCTTAGACCCTCTGTCCTTAGACCCTCACATCGTACAAGGAAAAACTTCCGGAGAAAAACCCACAGATTATTAAAAACGATTATCCATTTACTTGAAAAACATCCATTTATTGAAAAAAAAATGTTGAACAGTATGTTTTTTAACAGTTGATTACCCTGAACTTTAAGTATAATTCAACTGAAAAACCAATAAAAAATAAATAAATAAATAATCATTTTATTTCAATTATGTTGTTTTCATAATCGTTGCAAGCCAAAATCGTAATTGCGATTAAAATACGATTAATTGAGCAGCCCTACTACGATCCTTCCTTCATCGTCCCCTGCTCACCCAGGATGTGAGGAGTCCCTCTGAACTCCTGGATCAGGAGGTGTCGAGCTCCTTTCGGGATCTCCAGGATCTTCAGATATCCTGTAGAAAAAAAATTGTGAGTCTAAAAGGGGTCGTATTAACACCACTTTATGATTTCTGAAGTAGAAAGCTAGAGGAACTATGGCAAGGTCACATGACTTCAATTCACCACCGCTAAGCTAAAGGAGGCTAATGTTGGGCTATAAAGGAACTACAGCACGGTCACACGACTTCACGTCACCACCGCTAAGCTAAAGGAGGCTAATGTTGGGCTATAAAGGAACTACAGCACGGTCACATGACTTCACGTCACCACCGCTAAGCTAAAGGAGGCTAATGTTGGGCTATAAAGGAACTACAGCACGGTCACATGACTTCACGTCACCACCGCTAAGCTAAAGGAGGCTAATGTTGGGCTATAAAGGAACTACAGCACGGTCACATGACTTCACGTCACCACCGCTAAGCTAAAGGAGGCTAATGTTGGGCTATAAAGGAACTACAGCACGGTCACATGACTTCACGTCACCACCGCTAAGCTAAAGGAGGCTAATGTTGGGCTATAAAGGAACTACAGCACGGTCGCATGACTTCACGTCACCACCGCTAAGCTAAAGGAGGCTAATGTTGGGCTATAAAGGAACTACAGCACGGTCACATGACTTCACGTCACCACCGCTAAGCTAAAGGAGGCTAATGTTGGGCTATAAAGGAACTACAGCACGGTCACATGACTTCACGTCACCACCGCTAAGCTAAAGGCGGCTAATGTTAGCGTGGTGATGTCACCTGGCTTCCTGGTGCTGCGGGTGAAGTTGCCCTTGATGATCTTGCAGCTGGAGTTGTCTCCTCCACAGACTCCACAGCGGTCCTCCTGCAGGTCGGAGGCGATCTGACCGTCACAGCCCACATGCTGGGGGGGGACACTAGCATTAGCACAGAGGAAGAACTGCACTGACGTTTACTTCCTGTTCCTGAAAACATGTCAGCTTGAGATTAGTAAAGTACGAAGAGCATCAGGGTCACGTGGTGTGGGGGGATGTGACCGCAGGTAAGGGATGTGACCGCAGGTAAGGGATGTGACCGCAGGTAAGGGATGTGACCGCAGGTAAGGGATGTGACCGCAGGTAAGGGATGTGACCGCAGGTAAGGGATGGGACCTCAGGTAAGGGATGTGACCGCAGGTAAGGGATGTGACCGCAGGTAAGGGATGTGACCTCAGGTAAGGGATGTGACCGCAGGTAAGGGATGTGACCTCAGGTAAGGGATGTGACCGCAGGTAAGGGATGTGACCGCAGGTAAGGGATGTGACCGCAGGTAAGGGATGTGACCTCAGGTAAGGGATGTGACCGCAGGTAAGGGATGTGACCTCAGGTAAGGGATGTGACCGCAGGTAAGGGATGTGACCTCAGGTAAGGGATGTGACCTCAGGTAAGGGATGTGACCGCAGGTAAGGGATGTGACCTCAGGTAAATACAAGTTAAGAGTTCTGACTTTAATCTCAAAAGTCTGATCTTTTGTCACATCCCAAAACATTTTTTTTAATTTGACCTTAATCCTCTTCTGTCTGTTACGCTTTATTTGTATTCTATTACTAATGTGCGCTTCTCATTATATTCAACACGTTGGCTTACTCGTTATTATTGCTTCCCTTTTTTACTTGCCACTTTAGCTGTAACTCCATGAATGAAGGCTTTCTGAGATCTGCAGTGACGCCCAGACCGACCCACAGATCATGCTCAAACTCAAGATGCAATCAAAGGTTTTATCATCATATGATCATGAGGCTCATGATGTGTCTTGAGACTCATGAGACTCATGATGTGTCTTGAGACTCATGAGCCTTATGATGTGTCTTGAGACTCATGAGGCTCATGATGTGTCTTGAGACTCATGAGGCTCATGATGTGTCTTGAGACTCATGAGGCTCATGATGTGTCTTGAGACTCATGAGGCTCATTATGTGTCTTGAGACTCATGAGGCTCATTATGTGTCTTGAGACTTATGAGGCTCATTATGTGTCTTGAGACTCATGAGGCTCATGATGTGTCTTGAGACTTATGAGGCTCATGATGTGTCTTGAGACTCATGAGGCTCATGATGTGTCTTGAGACTCATGAGGCTCATGATGTGTCTTGAGGGTCATGAGGCTCATTATGTGTATTGAGCCTCATGAGGCTCATGATGTGTCTTGAGATTCATGAGGCTCATGATGTGTCTTGAGGGTCTTGAGCCTCATGAGACTCATGATGTGTCTTGAGACTCATGAGGCTCATGAGGGTCTTGAGCCTCATGAGACTCATGATGTGTCTTGAGACTCATGAGGCTCATGATGTGTCTTGAGACTCATGATGTGTCTTGAGGGTCATGAGGCTCATTATGTGTCTTGAGACTTATGAGGCTCATGATGTGTCTTGAGACTCATGAGGCTCATGATGTGTCTTGAGACTCATGAGGCTCATGATGTGTCTTGAGACTCATGAGGCTCATGATGTGTCTTGAGCCTCATGAGGCTCATGATGTGTCTTGAGACTCATGAGGCTCATGATGTGTCTTGAGCCTCATGAGGCTCATGATGTGTCTTGAGACTCATGAGGCTCATGATGTGTCTTGAGGGTCTTGAGCCTCATGAGGCTCATGATGTATCTTGAGCCTCATGAGGCTCATGATGTGTCTTGAGGGTCTTGAGACTCATGAGACTCATGATGTGTCTTGAGACTCATGAGGCTCATGATGTGTCTTGAGGGTCTTGAGCCTCATGAGGCTCATGATGTGTCTTGAGACTCATGAGGCTCATGATGTGTCTTGAGACTCATGAGGCTCATGATGTGTTTTGAGACTCATGAGGCTCATGAAGTGTCTTGAGACTCATGAGGCTCATGATGTGTCTTGAGGGTCATGAGCCTCATGAGACTCATGAGGCTCATGATGTGTCTTGAGACTCATGAGGCTCATGATGTGTCTTGAGACTCATGAGGCTCATGATGTGTCTTGAGACTCATGAGGCTCATGATGTGTCCTGAGGGTCATGAGCCTCATGAGACTCATGATGTGTCTTGAGACTCATGAGGCTCATGATGTGTCTTGAGACTCATGAGTCTCATGATGTGTCTTGAGACTCATGAGTCTCATGATGTGTCTTGAGACTCATGAGGCTCATGATGTGTCTTGAGACTCATGAGGCTCATGATGTGTCTTGAGACTCATGAGGCTCATGATGTGTCTTGAGACTCATGAGGCTCATGATGTGTCTTGAGACTCATGAGGCTCATGATGTGTCTTGAGACTCATGAGGCTCATGATGTGTCCTGAGGGTCATGAGCCTCATGAGACTCATGATGTGTCTTGAGACTCATGAGTCTCATGATGTGTCTTGAGACTCATGAGGCTCATGATGTGTCTTGAGACTCATGAGGCTCATGAAGTGTCTTGAGACTCATGAGGCTCATGATGTGTCTTGAGGGTCATGAGGCTCATGATGTGTCTTGAGGGTCATGAGCCTCATGATGTGTCTTGAGACTCATGAGGCTCATGATGTGTCTTGAGGGTCATGAGGCTCATGATGTGTCTTGAGGGTCATGAGCCTCATGATGTGTCTTGAGACTCATGAGGCTCATGATGTGTCTTGAGGGTCATGAGGCTCATGATGTGTCTTGAGGGTCATGAGGCTCATGATGTGTCTTGAGGGTCATGAGCCTCATGAGGCTCATGATGTGTCTTGAGACTCATGAGGCTCATGAAGTGTCTTGAGACTCATGAGGCTCATGATGTGTCTTGAGGGTCATGAGGCTCATGATGTGTCTTGAGGGTCATGAGGCTCATGATGTGTCTTGAGGGTCATGAGCCTCATGAGACTCATGATGTGTCTTGAGACTCATGAGTCTCATGATGTGTCTTGAGACTCATGAGTCTCATGATGTGTCTTGAGACTCATGAGGCTCATGATGTGTCTTGAGACTCATGAGGCTCATGATGTGTCTTGAGGGTCATGAGGCTCATGATGTGTCTTGAGACTCATGAGTCTCATGATGTGTCTTGAGACTCATGAGTCTCATGATGTGTCTTGAGACTCATGAGTCTCATGATGTGTCTTGAGACTCATGAGGCTCATGAAGTGTCTTGAGACTCATGAGGCTCATGATGTGTCTTGAGGGTCATGAGCCTCATGAGACTCATGATGTGTCTTGAGACTCATGAGTCTCATGATGTGTCTTGAGACTCATGAGTCTCATGATGTGTCTTGAGACTCATGAGTCTCATGATGTGTCTTGAGACTCATGAGGCTCATGAAGTGTCTTGAGACTCATGAGGCTCATGATGTGTCTTGAGACTCATGATGTGTCTTGAGGGTCATGAGGCTCATGATGTGTCTTGAGACTCATGAGGCTCATGAAGTGTCTTGAGACTCATGAGGCTCATGATGTGTCTTGAAGGTCATGAGCCTCATGAGACTCATGATGTGTCTTGAGACTCATGAGTCTCATGATGTGTCTTGAGACTCATGAGTCTCATGATGTGTCTTGAGACTCATGAGGCTCATGATGTGTCTTGAGACTCATGAGGCTCATGATGTGTCTTGAGACTCATGAGGCTCATGATGTGTCTTGAGACTCATGAGGCTCATGATGTGTCTTGAGACTCATGAGGCTCATGAGGCTCATGATGTGTCTTGAGGGTCATGAGCCTCATGAGACTCATGATGTGTCTTGAGGGTCTAAGGTTTGGGATCCAGGACAAAGACAGAGTGACTGAAGCAGAATAATAAAGACCTCACACTCTCCTTGGACGCAGACGCTGTGTGGGTCGTTGTAGGAGCACGGCGTCCCATCATGCACCTGGCGGCCCATCAGAACCACCGCCGCCGTCTCCTGGGAGACGCAGGACAGACGGCAGCGCTCGTCCGCTGCAGGGAGACGAGACATGGGACATGTCTATTATAAGGAGCTTCGCTAGAGTACATACATGTAATATAAACATTAAATAATATTCATTTATAAATATAATGTGAAAGACAACGTAGAGCGTATATGTTCAGAGTTTAAAGAGTTAAAGAGAGGAGAGAGAATAACAGATTCCACACACACACACACACACAGGAAACTTTAATCTAATCTTGAAGTTCCAGGAAGAATGGAATGTGTGTGTACAGTGTGTATTATGAGTGTGTACAGTGTGTATTATGAGTGTGTATTTACGGTCGGGATGTTGATGAGGAAGCCAGTGATGTTTGATTCCTTCGTGTTCGAAGAACGGGTTCCAGACTTTACACTGATCCTCCCTGACACACACACACACACACACACACACACACACACACACACACACACACACACACACACACACACACACACACACACACACACACACACACACACACACACACACACACACACACACACACACATTATTTACATACCTAACAACATCTGGGATATATACATTACATTACATTACATTGCATTTAGCTGACGCTTTTGTCCAAAGCGACTTACAATAAGTACATTGGACCAGGAAGACACAACCTTGAAGAAAACAGAATCATAAAGTACATCAGGTTTCATAGAGCCAA